TTGGAATTTATGCAGTAGTCAGGACAGACACTAAATTGACTGGGCTCCTTTCATGCTGGTATAAGAGACAGTCTGCGTTAGGTGGGATACGGAAAACATGTTTGAAGACAAACTTCGAACTCGGACCAAATCATTCTTTCGACGTGTGTGTTAAACAAACCAGACAAAAAAATTATCACCTTGGCAGACTGCTTATGGAAATGCATGATTCACTGATGCTGGCGAGGCAAATTATTGAACAAAATACCCCAGTTCTGGCAGAACCTCTGTATTTCCTTCTACTTTAGAAACAAACTTTTGAATTCTCAGTGACACTGTGCTTGGAAATCAGTGCCATTGATAACAGGTTTACATCTGATGTGCCTTTCATAAATAAATTCAGTTATTTGTGCGTGGGTGTTGTGTGCATTTTGAAGAGGGGTGCATGTGGGTGACGTGTAATATCTACTAGAACTGACCAGTGTCTTTTTTAACAGAACTATTGTCAGAGGCGTGTCTGTGTGTGCTTCTGTGCGCGCGCATGTCCAGTATAATCTGCTGTGTGAATATCTGTCGAATTTAACTAATAACGACAACATTAACATTTGGTTTCTGAACAGTACTGGTGAGGTTCGCATTTGTGTTCTCATTTTCCTGTCACAGAGCTTTGCCTCCCCCCCCCCTCTTATATTACCCATAATCCTCAGGTGAGTCACGGCTTTGTTTGGTTCACCCTGGAATATGTAAGTGGCTTCATGTCTAGATCTAAGAGCATGTTTGCCTAGGACAAGAGATTCAACAACAACAATAATTTTGAATGCACGAAAAGGTGAAATCCACAAGTTTTTGATGTTTTGATGTTGCTTTCTGTCATGATATTCTGTTTTATTTTCGTGTTTTGTGTTGATGTTTAATCGTATATTGTATACATTTTGCTGGGAATTGTTTTGTATGAAAACTGCAACAGCCTGCCCAATTTTCGTTCAAGCTGTGTTGAGGTTTGTGAATGCCTTTCTTTATAAATTACCATATTGGTCCATTAGCATACATTTTGTTTTTTGAACAGCGTTGTGATGTGCATTAGATAAGTAAGAATAGAAGGCCTTGTGATGAGTTCATGTCGGAACTTACAATTTTTACAGGTAATTAGATTTTAATTTGTCTCAGATATGTTATATAAGTAGCATTACTTGCATTCTTAGTGTTAACTGTGCTGTATGTCTACATTACTTTAGACATATTTCTGATTGATCTTAATTTTCAATTTATAAGCAGAAAATCTCTCGTTCCCATTATGCATTAAGAAAGTAGGATTTCGTAAAGCAAGCTATTTTAAGAATTTCATGAAGATCAAACTTTCTTTTATAATCATAAGTATGTTTACTCCCTGGGAATTAAGATTTTTAATTTTTCACTTAGCTTTCTAGAGAATCAGTTGGTTGGGTTTTGCTGGGCATTTACATTGCATTAAATGAAAGACAGTGAGCAAAACAACTCTGTAAACTAAAGTTTAAATATTGTACCCTAAAAACAAATGGCAGTATCACAACACCTCATGCAGTAATGGTTGTACCATATCGCAAAGAAATTGAAAGTAGATATGATTTCTCATGAAGAGGTCCCATGTTTTATAATTTTATTCTGTAATATTGTGTCCCACTATTTTTATAGTTTCATGGAGTTGAAGTGTCTAAAATTTATATGTTTATTAATTAATGGAAAATGAATAAGGAGCAGTCATGGCCTGCCTCGAGGCACTCACAAAGCAGCAGCTTGGAAAGTTCATCAGATATACTGAGAAAATGTTAGTTTCTGAAAGTTTGACTTTGATACTAATAAGTAATTGAAAAGCTTTTTGACGAGGCACTGAACCTAACTCATAGGCAGAAAGATAATCCTATTTGTGAATAAAGAAAACATAAGCCAGTGGCAAATCAACATCAGGGTACAGTTCGTAAACTATATTTGATAGTTGTTGGCAATCTATGTTTTATGATTTGAAAGTTACGCATATTTAATTAAGATAAACTTCGTTAGGATTTCATAAGCACATTACGCACACAAGTTTCTTTAAACCAAAAAAGTTACTCTGTATTTTCATGAAATCACAACTCAATTAACTGATCAGGCAGTTAAAGAGGTGGAAAGCAGTGACCATTTAATTTTGGAAGTAAAGGAGATTCATGAGTTTAATTTTGTGATTAAACCAGTGTGTTACTGGTGACACAGGTGGCACTCGTAATAAGCATTGCCATGTAAAGAGTGTTCTCTCCAGGCTATGCAATGACATTTTGTCTTCTTGTGACCCAAATTAAACTTCGAAACTTACAGTAATTTTGTATTCTTAGCCTATACAAAAATAAATACCAGGCATATCTCTTCAGGATGTACAAAGAATTTTGTCTTCTTGTAACCATAATATCACTCTGAAAGCCGCTGTAAGTAGTGCGGAAGTCAGAGTGTGTAACTTAGCCCATGAAAGAGACTATTACAAAGGAATCTGTTCGAGTAGATTCTGTTCTATGTGGATACAATGTCTTAGAATACCTCCTCAACTAAATATTTGGTTCCTTAATTGGATACTTGTTTGACCAAAACAGTAATTTTAATGTGGCTTCCTTGCTCTCCAAAGTTGTTATGGAACACCGAAGTGTTCAGATTGTTGAGCATAATTTTCTGGAAGTGGGACACACCCACTTTAAATGTGACTCACAGCATGCCTGAATTAAAATATCTAAGAAGAATACAGGTAGAGATTGGTAAATTTCTTCAGAGTGTCAGAGGGTAATATGTATTGATATTTGTAGAAATGGAAAGAGAGGACTTTAATTTTTATCCCTGTCAGAAATGTGTAATAAATGAGACTATGAACTCTGTAAGGCAAAAGTTTAGTTGGTTCTGTATACACTTGATGAAATGCAAAAATATATTTGTGGTGTTTCTTTTGAAGAATGCAGGTGGAACATGCCCGAACTTCATGTGCTTAGAAGTACATTCAGTGAAATTTTTAACTTAACACCTAGAAAATGTGATTTTATATTAGCGTGCTTAGAGGTACATTCAGTGAAATTTTTAACTTGACACCTAGAAAATGTGATTTTATATTAGCTGTAGAATTTTGAAAATGGTTTCCTGTAAAATTATACTTTTGCACATAACATCAGGTGTGTTTTGACTACAGAAGTTAAGACAGACATTTTATATTTTATACATTTTTTTTTCACGCTGTTAATTATTTCCATGATAATATCATAACCGAAATTAATTGAGAAATCTCTTGCAATCAATACTGTGGCTTATGTTCAATCTGTGCAATTGTTATACAGCATTTCTTTCCTAACTGAGTTATAAGTTTAGTATTTTCTCTGACGGGATGCATTATATTCATTTTCTTTCACAATAATTATCAAATGCAAAATTTATAGTCGCTAGTTTACTCATTATAATGAAATTCATATTTGTGATCAGTCATAAATGGCATTTGTCTTGCAAGAATAATATTGGGCATAATGCATGAAAAAGGACATATTTTTCACATATTACTGCACTTAATCTTGACTCTGATCCTCTATAAACAGTGATAATAACCGATTCTATCCATTGCTTTGATAAATCTCTCTTATTCCAAATATGGATTGTAACTTCAAGCATCTCTGAACGCTGTGTCGGAGTAGTTGAATTTGAATTAAATTGAGACCTCTATATTTACATAATATGGTTTCCAATTAGGAGCCATCATTTACAGTAGAGTGATAAATAGACTTAAACAGACTGAATCTATATTAAGTATATTTGTTTAGTTTAGTAAGAGGATCACGAGAGAACCTTTTAAGAGGAACCTTACTTTAAAAGTGTAATCAGCACAGTGCATATACCAGTATGTAATAAACCCCTCTGTTTATTATTTTCCTTGACATCTGTGCACCTTCGTGTTTGAAATTCTTAGATACAGGCGTATCTTACGAATAAACTGAATTTATAAGTAGAGCGTAAACAAAGACATGTTGTATTGTGAAAGAGCCTGGTTATCTTCATGAATACATCATCCTAACAATCAAGATACTCATATAATTTATTTCCCTAAACTTTAACTACCAAAAGCTTCTGAAAGTCTTTGTCTAGCCTGTAAACGTCCTGTACATTGATTTGAAATATTCAAACCAAATATATTTCATAGTGAGATGATAATGTTGCGTCATATTGTGATGATTATAATTGTTTAATTTTAACCGTCTAATCACAATAAAATATTTTATTGTGATTAGACGGTTAAAATTAAACAATTATATTTCATAGTGTTGAATAAGGGAACATGGATATCAGTGACTGTTCATGTAACTTCATAATAATGCTTGTGATTGTAGCTTCATAATGACTATGTTGAAAGTTAAAACTAAAATAATGATATTATCTATCTGCCCATTAGGTTCTTAAGCAGTAAGCTTGTATTTCATTTGGCTAGGAACATGTATTGTCTGTTGTTTTCAAAATGCGATATGGTACAACCATCCACATTCCTTCCCCAGAGTACAGAGTACTGTGGGTTGTAGTGCAACAGTGGAGCAAGGCAGAGCACCATCAGGTCAGTGGCATGATTACTAATTGCAGTTATTCTTGAGTGGTTAGGCACTTAGAGATGTTGATAGGAACATTAGAGAAAACAAGTTTTATCATTTTGGGTGGGAACTTTTGTATTTGAGACGTCATTGATGGTAGAATGAATACGCTGTCCTCGTATTTATCACGTTGGACTCAACTTCCTGCGCTGGACACATCACAGTAGTAAAGATGGTTGTTGTCGTTCTTGTACTGATTGCTGTCCTGTTTATTACATGCGTGCATGGAATAGTCTCGTCCCCAAATGCACTTCTGCTGCCGGCTACTTCTGCCTCACCACAGGACGATGATGATTCACTGGACACAGATGGATTTCAAGAGCAGTTTCTACTGGAAACTCCACCACCAGCAACTGAAGAGACCCTCAGGGGTAGAAGGGAAGAGAGAATTGGAACGAAGATGACTATATATGCCCATCAGAGAACATCGTCTGATGTGACGGTGGTGGAGTTGGAAGAGAGGAAGGAGCTGGCTTCTGCTGAGAAAAGTGACTTGGGCGAAGATGAAGACTTAACAGAGACAGTGTCCAGCCGCAGTGAAGTCACCACAGATATTGAGGAAGCAAGTGATGCAAGTATCGATCTGAGTGACACAGAATTCCGAATACGCCCAGACCGATTGACAATTCACAGTGCAGTCAGATCTCCCGAAGAGGAGAAGGGCGAAAAGGATTCTAAACGAGCAGAGAATATAAAATTTCAAGATGAATGTATGGATAAAGGAATACCCGCTCGTCCTGTAGAGAGATTATCAGGAGGAGTAGGTGAAAACAAGGAATTGCCTAGAAAAGAGAGACGAGACAAAGTTGAGACAAACGAAGCAGGTGTGGAGTCTCGGGAATGTCAGGGCAAGAAGCAAGGATTTGGTAAAAGGGATGAATCAGGCGGCAGATTGCACGGCAGTGGGGATGCCAACAGGCACATAGATTGTGGCACAAGTCCTATAGATGGAAAAGCTGTTTCCAGTCCTAACCCGGGTTCTTCTCCTCCGGAACCGTCACCTCTACCCGCTGGCGGAGGGCGGGCAAATCTTCCGCCGCCAACATTGGAGCTTGTGATCGGGCGTAAGGAGGTGCGCACAAAGGAGGCTAGCGCCACAGCTGAGAGTCGCCTGACGCTGTACGGGGCAAGGGACGTAGAAATATCAATCCGTTCACAGTCCCACATCAGTGTCACCACAACTCGCCGGGAGGCGAATGGGCGGGAGACCTCAGAGCGCGTGGACGTAGGGATGACCGCAACCGCAGGAACTGGAGGCTCTACCAAAGTCCCTCGTGCAGCAGACCTGAGCCCGGAGGTAACGGAAGATTCGGTAGGGGAACGCCGGTATATTATTCCTCCCCCGCCGTCAGAAGGAGACGAACCGCAGCAGACCGATTTGACAAAGGAACGCAAGCGAGAGGAGACTGTGATATTCAGCGGAAAGAAAAGTGTGTACCGCTACGAGTCGCTCGAGGCGGCCGGCACGCCGGCATTTGAAAGCCCTACGACGGAGGAAAGCGCGTCACACCACATTACTGATACCGGCATTAGCCTTACTCGCGAAACAACTGACACAATCACGAGCCCCGCTCGGAGACCTCCAGGCGAGATATGCATTGACGATCGCGGCGTTCTGTCCGACACGGCTGTTGACGTGGGTGCAGAAGAGGCGGAACTTACTGATGCTGGTCTGAGCCCCATTCAAGCAGATGACGTGGGGATCGGACTACCTAGCACCGAGATAATGCTTCTGGAGGAGGAAATTGTAGTGGCTCACTACTGTGATGCAGCGAGTAGTCCCGTTGAATTTCAGCAGGTCGAGACCACATCTGTGGCTCTCTCTCCGTTACAAATTGATACGTCAGAAGCCGGAATCTCAACAGACAAGGTAGATACTCGCGATGCGAGTGTCAGTCCTTTACACCCCGAAGGCGAGAGTCCATCCACACAAGAACGGGCAGACGATGAAGTTATGCGAGTAAGACGGGATTCCGGTGACGTAAGGGCACTTATAAGACTTCTTGAGGAAGGGACGCAGCAAAGGACACAGCACATCTCTGCGAAGGAAGCAAAGAAGTCTAAGGATGATCCTTTTTACGTTAGAACAGCCGAACAGCGAGAGGAAAAGGAACAGCGTCGAACCTTTTTACGTTCGAACAGTCGAACAGCGAGAGGAAAAGGAACAGCGTGACTTGAAAGAGGACGTGACAGAAACAAGCAAAGAAATTACAATAGTCCGTGAACAACCAATGGGCACAGAAGAAACAAGCGAAAAGTTGGTACACGAAGTTCAGATAGGCAAACCAACATCTGTACCGACAACACCGAAACATATTGGGCCTAAGATAAAAGAACTTCAAAGATTTTTCACACATTCATTTGAACAGGACACTGATGAAATCGTAGAGAGAATACCACCAGCACAACCTAAACATAAAATAACGAGTGAAGAACCTCTGTTGATTAAAGAAGAGGATCGAGTAAGCGACAGAATTTCTGTAGAAGTTGAAGAAAAAGACACATACCCTCACATCTCTCAGGTTATAGAAACCATTGAGAAACGTATAGCGACAGAGGGACAAATGAAACCAGTAACAGCCAAGTTTGCTACTGGCGTCGAAGTAGAGGAATCAGTAAAACCATCCCTGGTGGAGGAACGCCTCACACAGTTAGTAAAGGCTGAAGAACAAGTGCTGAAGAAGATCGAAGAAGTCATAACGTTTGTCGAAGAATCGTCGAACAGGCAAGAATTCTTTGCGCACTTGGAACAATCGAAAGAAATTGACTCAAAGAAAATTCACACCGAAGAGCCTTACGTATTGCCAGATACAAAGGATGCTAGAGAAGGACATGACATTCATTTTGCAGATGACCAAGAACAAGAAGACGGAAGGAAAACAATAACGTTAGAACGGCACATTCAACATGAAAGCGAGAAGAGATTGAAACGAAGTAGAAAAGAATTAGAAGCGGTAGACACTGAATTAAGTCTTAAGGAAACTGCAGGATTGAAACAGCCTTTACCATCAGATGATACTAAAAGAAGCCTCATATCTCACAAAATGAAGCTGGAGAGTGAACCAACTTCAGAATCAAGGATTTTCCAAATGGTACTAGAAGAGAAGACCGAGACTGAAGTAAGGTCAGAGAAATCTATACGTGAAACGTTTGAGGTCGTCGAAGATAAAATAAGATATCAACCAGAAAGGGGTGACGAACAGGACGAACATATAGAATTAAGAGAAGTATTACTACCTCCAATAGTCGATATATTAAAACAACCGACCAAAGAAATTCGACTTGACGAAATACCAGCTGAAGAAGATCAACTGACTGCTGCAAAAGAAACTCCTCTGGCTGAAATATTGATTCATGAAGAGGCGGTGTTTCCTTCTAGTTCAAAGGACCTTGAATCTGAAGTAGACGTCCTTCTTGACAAAAGATCAGCAGTCATGGAACCACGTGCTGCAACCGACGGGGAGGACTTAGTTATGAAGCAAGAGGTCATTGTAGAAGAAGATGAGTTAGTCGGTAGATTGATTTCGGGAAAGCATTCAGACGAGAAGGAAGAAATGAAGCTTCTGGAAGAGGACATAGTGGTGGAGAAAACAGATACTGTGGAGCAAACGCTAATTGAAATGACAATTATAAAAACCGAGGCATACAAATTGCACCCTACGTTACTCCACCAGAAAGAGTATCGGCCGGAGGAACCAGAGGAGTCAGTGACCGAATTGAAAGTGGCGACGGTTGACACAATTTCGAAGGATCAAGAAATTAAAACTGTTGAAGCAAAGGAACAACAAGAGCCTATTGAAAAATCTCTCGTAACAAAAGACAGTGACTATGAGTTGAATGTTGAAGTGTTAAAAAAGGAAACAGAAGACCGGCCTACACCAAGAGAAACGATGGCTGTTAGACAGGTACTTATTGATGAACTAAGTAAGGTGGATTCCCTTGAGGAAGAGGATTCTGCGAAACATCGCACCGTAGAGGAGGAAACATTGACAAGTAGGGACATTTTACCCAAACCCGAAGACGAACAGAAAGTAGATGAGGTCCCATTAACAGAGGCGGCGCCTACGATATCTGTGCCTCTCAAACATACTCCCGAGGATGTGACGTCAGTGGAGGAGGAAGGCTTTGCGGAGAGGACCGATATCGCATTTCCTGTAACGGTGCAACTAACAGAAGCGAGTGTGACAGGGGAATCAGTCGTTGAAGTAGAAAGGCTAACTGCGGACAAAGAAGAAATTTATGATATTTTAGCTAAACGCGAGGTCTCGGAGGAAAGAGAATTGTTTGGAAGGGAGGTTGGTATTAAATCCGGAATTGTAGTTGAAACGGTCGAAAGCTCTGTCGATGTTATAGAAGCTACAACTGATGGGTCCACAGTGCTGACTACAAAGGTGATTTTAGAAGGAAGAATGGTGGAGGAGGGTGATGATGTGACGAAGACAGCGTCCAAAGATCTCGAAACAGAAGAGGATGGTACTGCTGAAAAGGAAACTAAGGATACGGCAATTGCAGACGAAATTAGTGAACCTCTTCCAGACGTCGGTTTACTTATTAAAGAGGATGTGGTAATTGACGAATTGGATACGGGAGTAGAAAGTGTGGTAGAACGGGGACAAGTTAGAGGTGATGATGTATCTGATGTTACCATACCTGAAGTAAAAGTAGTTGACTCAATATCAGACGCCGTAACGTCTGATAGCGCCGAGACGTATCCCGAAGTTGTCGAACCTCGAGAGACTAAACCTGCGGACACTGAAACTGTGCATACAGAGGCCGCTGCCGCATCTCCAGAATCAGTTACCGAAGCCATTTTAGTGACAGGTACGATAGAGGTTCCTGATGAAATTCTTCCGGCTAAAGATACTGAAAGGGAATTTGATTTGGAAATACCTGAGCACGTATCTGCACCAAGTTCACCTGGATTGGAAGCTACCCGACCAATCACAGGAAATTTTTCCGGCTAAAGATACTGAAGGGGAACTTGATTTGGAAATACCTGAGCACGTATCTCCACCAAGTTCACCTGGATTGGAAGCTACCCGACCAATCACAGACGAGGAGCCGCGTCCTGTGTCGGTGACTGAGGACATTCCTCCTGAGCCTGCGCCGTCAATAGATCCGGAAGTTACTGCAGACAAGAGCGGCATCGCGAAGACCGTGTTATTGGAGTCAGTGGAATCCACTGTGACCAAAGTATCAGTCGTGGTAACTAAGGAATCTGTTGTTGACGATGTAACTGAACGGGATAGACTTCGAAGACCGTGTTATTGGAGTCTGTGGAATCCACTGTGACCAAAGTATCAGACGTGGTAACAAAGGAATCTGTTGTTGACGATGTAACTGAAGGGGATAGACTTGACAGAAGCGAAGTTGTTGAAGAGGCATTAGTTGTTGCGAGTGAATTGGAAATTAAAAAGGGACCGAAAGGGACACCTGAGTATTCCCCTGTGGGTGGTATAGAACCTGTCTTTGATGTCTCAACTGAAAGGCTTCCGGAAGGTATCACGGGAGGTGAAACGATCGATGGCATTGTTGAGATATGCCCCGTGTCTAAAGAACTCGAAAGCAAAGCAGAAACAATTATTGAAGTCAGTAAAACAGACGAGGCAGCAACGGCTGTGATATCTCTTGATTCAGAAAGAGATGACTTTGTTTCTAGAGAAAAGGTGGATTTCCTTGAGAAAGAGGATTCTGCGAAACATCGCACCCTAGAGGAGGAAACATTGACAATTAGGGACATTTTACCGAAACCCGAAGACGAACAGAAAGTGGATGAGGTCCCATTAATAGAGGCGGCGCCTACGATATCTGTGCCTCTCAAACATACTCCAGAGGATGTGACGTCAGTGGAGCAGGAAGGCTTTGCGGAGAGCACCGATATCTCATTTCCTGTAACCGTGCAAGTAACAGAAGCGATTATGATAGGGGTATCGGTGGTTGAAGTAGAATCGCTAACTGCGGAC